CCTTTATTACTTTGATAATTTCAAAGATATCAATGTTTTCAAAACATCTATCCAGATTTTTCTATTATTTATATTTCTTGAATGAGGATTCTCCCACTTCTTTGATTTCACTCATCTCTGGGAAGTGGCCTGCTATGCCCCTTTCATAAAAAGCAATTTTTATCTATCTATCTATCTACCTACCTATCTACCTTAGAGAAGGGAGAGGAAGGGAGAAAGAGAGGGAGAGAAACATCAGTGTGAGAGAGGATCATCTATTGGTTCCCTTTTTGTGCATGTCCCCAACTGGGACTGAACCCACAACCCAGGCATGTGCCCTGACTGGGAATCAAACCCACAACCCTTTGCTTTGTCGTCCAATGCCCAACCAAAGGAGCCACTCGGGCCAGGGCTGGAAGGGCATTTTATGATTGCTTCAGCCCATGGACCCACTGGAAGCCTTAAGTTAGCAGCTCAGCTCCATTCTCAGTGCCTGTGCCTGCAATAGCCCAGAAACTAGGATCAGGTGAGAACCTTAACTTAGACCTTAGGCTTTAAGAAGGGACTATGTTTCTAGAAGCCACCTGGGCAGATAAGAGAGGATGTCCCAACCTCTGTGAAGTCCATTGTGAGCCCAGTTTGGAGCGCACACCCTTCCGTGTGAGGGCCCCAGCTGGATCATCTACACACAGTGAGTCTCATCCTCTCGGTGACCCTGGCGCTTCAGCCTCTGCCTGTGCCTGTAATTTCCTTTTAGGTCCTTGGATTTGGGGGTAATATTTAGTGCAGTTCTGTATTTATTTTAAAATAAGCAAATAAATTTATTTTATTTTATTTTATCTCATGTGTTTGTAGTGGGAGGGTATATTATACCTAACTTTCCTTTACCATAAAAGTACCCTTAGTTTTTCAGACAGGGAAACTAAACCCCAGAAAAGTGACACAGCTCTCCCAAGCCACAACCTAATTACCGCCAATGCAGGCCTGCCTTGGCTGTGTTGCAGGTGTTCTTCCAGACCACTGCAACGAAGTGAATATTGCGGTAGGTCACACGCATTTTTTGCTTTCTTGGTGCATGTAAAAGTTGTGTTTACACAATATTGTAGTCTATTTAGTATTCAATAGAATATTTCTAAAAACAAGTAATGTCCGTACTTTAATTAGCAAATATTTTATTGCTAAAAAAATGGTAACCATTATCTAAGCTGGTTGGCAAAACAGCACCAATAGACTTGCCCAACTCAGGGCTGCTACAAAGTTTCAATTCATAAAAACTGCAGTATCTGCAAAGTGCAGTGAAGTGAAGAACAATAAAACGAGGTGTGCCTATATGTGGATTACGGAGCACCTCTCTACCTTAAACACATTGGGCGTTGTCTCTTTAACTCTAGATATTTGATGTTCCAAATGGAGAACATAATATCTGTCTTGCCTTTTCCAATTCAGTATTGAGAATTGCAGGAATTGACATCGCAAATAAATGTGAAAGTATTTTGAAAATAAAAGGCTTAGTCTCTTATTAGCATTATCATTTTTAAAGTTCTATTGTTATGGAGATTACAAATGATGTCAATATTTACTTTCATTGCTAAGAAATTACTTCTGACTTTATTCCATGGCAGAGTTTGTTCTTTGCATATACCATTTCTACCCTCAAAGTCATTTTTATATTAAATAAGAAAAGAATCTCTTGGATAGAAGGTAATGTATGAAGGTCAACTCACAGAGACCAAAGAACAAATTTTATTTTCATGCATTTCACAAACATTTGTTGAATGCCAATGTGTCTGTGCATCTAGGTTTTGCCTGAAATATAGCAAGTATTTCTTTTTGTAAGAAATAGACTTTTTTATTTTAGATTTATGGAAAATTTTACATTTACAGTGTAATTGCTAAGACAGAGTTCCCACTTACCCTATACCCATCTTTTCCCCACTGTTAACATCTTATATCAATATGCTACTTTTTATCAGAATTAATGACCCAATGTTAATACACTTTTATACTTTTATTCAGATATCCTTAGTGCTTACCTTTTTCTCTTCCAGGGTCCCATCCGGGACAACACATTACATTTAGTCAGCATATTTCTCTAAGCTCCTCTTGCCTGTGACAGAAAGTCAGATTGTCCATTTTTACACAGCCTCGATGGTTTTGAGGGCTCCTGGCCAGGTATTCAGTAGAATTTTCCTCAAATGGGATTTGTTTGTTGTTTTCCTCACTATTAGAGTGAAGCTGTGGTGGCTTTGAGGAAGATCACAGAGGTAACGTGCCATTCTCATTACTTCCTATCAAGGTTACATGCTACCCAGAGATAGCTTTTTTTATGTTTGAGGTAATGTTTGCAAGGACAAAGTAACTGGAAAGTTACGTTTTCCTTTGTCAGTGCTGTATGCAGTCTCCAGGGAACCGGGGAAGGAAGTCAGTGTGAGCAGACTTATGCTCCACCTTCTCCAGGGCCGATTATCTACCTAAGTTACTTATCTACACAAGCTAAGTAAATACTTACTTATTTACTTATATCAGTATGCATTTGAAGACGTTCCGTAAATCCATCTCAGAATACGCCACTGTGGCATATGGAGTACCTCAAGTTGAAGGCACTAGAGAAAAAGCAGATGCAGAGAGAGCTCTCTGACCTCCCCTTTTTCTACCTGAAACCAGGTCCTAAAATTTCCCATAACAAAGGTGCCCACTCAGTATCTTTGTTGAGAGGAGAGAAGAACAGTCTCTTCACCAGAGAGTAAAGGTGAGCTCTGACATGGACCTGTGTAAACAAATCTACCGAATCACCCTGGTTTCTCTCTAGCTTCCCCCAGCTACTTCCTAGTTGCTGCCTCCAATGTAAACCTCTTTGGTCACATCCCCACAATGTATCACTCTTTGTTCAAAAAGGTGTTTAACCTTTAGGGCCTACCATCTTTGGGTCTTCATTTCCCTTCTGAAGACTCTCATGTACATGGAACAATGTTAAATGAAAATCGTGTGCTTTTCTCTAGCTCATCTGCCGAAGGTCAGTTGAATTCTTCGCCCTCTCTGCAGGACCTAGGACAACAGGAAGAAGTTTTTTTCTCCCCTACAGACTCACAGATATTTATTTTCTTTTACTACTTTATTTATTTTGTTGTCCAAATTGTTTCAGCTTTGGCTGTTGAAAACTCTTGCCTCTTGTGTTTCTTTGGCATTCCTGCTGTGTCTGTATTTAAATACTTTCTTACTTTTTTGGTGCCGCAAGATTCTCCAGGTTTACCTTATGTATTTCCTGTCTCAGTCCCAGAACCAGCTATTTCTCCAAGGAGCCCTGATTGCTTTTTGTAGGAGATTATTGACTAAGGGGAAACAAAACATTGCATAGAATCTGCTTTCAACTAGACATTATTTTCTTTATTCATTTCCACTTATAAAATATTTGGTTCTTGTTCTGTCATTCTCACAGGAATGCTGAGAGTAGGCTGAAGGTTCACAGAGCCATCAGATTGGAAGGGATGATGTTTAAAATGGAGATGTAAAGCTCCTGCAGAAATTTAGGAAATTCTGCCGAGATAACAGAGAACTTTACCCTCAATTGCCAATTGAGACCATCTGAGTCTTCTAAACATGGGTCTAATATTGAATTATCAGTGGAAATGTCTTTAATGCAAGAGAAAATTAACTTGGAAGTATACTAAATTTCAAGAAATAGAATCCTTTTTCTTTAGTCATAACCAAGGACAATAGTTATTAATAAGCTACTATTGCTGGTTTAAACAAAGAAAGTAAAATGTTTATTATTGTAATGTATCTTTTTATATGTGCCCAGACTCCAAAGTCTAGTTTTGTGTGTAAGGTTCCCCAACCGAGTGGTTGCTATAGATATAGCAAAAGCCCAAAGGACAGCATGCTGAGCCTTTGGAAAAACACTTTGGTTTCCAAAAGCAAGGGATAGACGTTGAGGCTTAAAGGGAGTTGATCCTTAGGAGAGGGGTCCCCAACCTCCGGGCCACAGACCAGCACCAGTTTGGGCCTGTTAGGAACCAGGCGGCACAGCAGGATGTGAGCTTGAAAGTAATATGCTTGAATCATCCTGCACCCATCCCGCCTATGCTGGGATGGGAAAATTACCCCATCCGGGAGAAAATTATCTTCCACGAAACTGTCCCTGGTGCCAAAAAGTGGGGGACTGCTGCTTAGGATAAACTCATAGCTAATGTAAGGTTTTCTAAATAAAATCTAAGGTTTGCAGGGAAATCTAGGGAATAATTGTGTGATGTGCAAAAGAAACAGTGAATATGAGTGAGGTTTAGTTTTCACTCTATGCTTAAGGCAAATATGTGCAAATCATTCTACTCAATGTTGGGGAATAAAAGATTATTTTTATCTCTTTTTGTGATAAAGATTATGAAGAAGAGAATGGAATGTCATGAAGCTGATGGAAACTGGGGTGCTAGGTGCCTGAGCTTTAAGTTGCTTCAGTTCAGCAATAATCACAGTAATGGAACTTGACTTTGGTCTGGTCCTCTTTCAAAGAGAAAGGGACCAGATCCTATGGGAAGGCTTCTCTTGATCTTGTCTCTGAACCTGCCTTCCCACCTGAATTTCATTGTAAAGTATGCTCATGGACCAACATTTAGCACAGCCAATTCATTTCTCAAATGGAGTTTTCCATCCTGGGAAGGCCAGGTGTATGAGCCCTTCTTATCTCTCATCAGCTCAAAGACAAAAAAATGTCTTGTGAATATAAGATTTGTAAAACTTTAACCTCTCAGTACATGTGAAGGAAAAATAAGGAGGAAGCAATGCGGTGAAGGGGAGGCCAAGCAGAACCAGAGTGACCCCAGGAAGAATGCTCTTCCAATGGATCTCGATGGGGCCCCTGAGATGGGTTGTCTGGTTAGTTAACAGGGAGCAAATTATCCAATGGGAAAACACTCTGGTGCTCACATATCACTTAACCATTGAAGGAGAACAGGATGCTAATGAGAGCAAGTCCAAGGGGAGGGGCTTCAGAAGCAAATCTCCTAAAATGACAGACCCACATTAGTGTCAATCACCAAAAACGAGTGAGGAAGGACCCCATGAGCCAGGACAGCAAACACCTGGACATCCTCATGTCCTCCGTGTTGGCTGCCTTCCTTGCCTTGATCAACTGAGAAGGATCCCAAATTCTTATTCAAAGTTGTCTCTTTGGCAACATTGTCTACTCTTCCCCAAACTGTCATTTCAAGGCTCAAGAGGAACTGTGGGGTAAGTCATACCTTTTTTTCTGACTTTGTCCACTTCTGCTAACATTTAGAAATTCTTTTCTATCAGTTCCTGGGGGAAATTATTGACTTCTAAGCTTCTTTTTCATTTCTTTCTCCCTAACCAAAGTTAAAATGCAACATTGTATATATGTGTGTGTGTTTGTGTGTGCGTATAGATAGAGAGGGAGAGAGAGACAGACAGAAAGAAGACAGAAAGAGAGAGAATTATTTTCCTAGTATTAAAACATTTGATACTTGTAGCCAATAATGTAAATGATTTGAAAGACTTTTGAGGATGGGATCCCATTTTTGATGGCATAGAATGTTATAGCTGTTATTTCACCAAGAGCATCTTGCAATTAGTTTACTCTTCACACCTCAACTTCAACCCCAGTTTAGATTACAGTGTTAAAAAAATCATCAGAAAATGTAGCCTTGTACAAGGAGATGATCGGATTATTCAGCCTTGCTGCACCAGCCTAATGCATTAGGCAATTTTGCCCACTGTGTTTCACCTGAGAGAAGGAGTGTGTCAAACACTATAGTGCACGAATTCTCCACCCAGCCTGCATAGATGCCAGAGCACATGTTTAGTGCCACGATCTGCAAGTTGGTTTTGCAGAGCTTGAAGAGTGAGTTAACAACTTTTTTTTGTTGGAATTGAGAATTTGCATTATCCTGAAGGGGCTTATATGCACATAGGATATGCTATATGTGATCATTGTTGTATATTTAATAATGTTCAAATAAAGGGCATGCTGTCACCTAATTATCTGCATATTATTTCAGAGTGGTAATGAAAAAGCTAAAGGGAATCCCCCCAAGAGTGTGAACAAGTGTGTTTGGGACAAATGAGTATCAACCTCTAGAGGCTCCTGTCAGTAGAACCAGAGGACATATTTACAGCTCTATCTGTGCATAGGGAAGGATGCTCCAAAATCTGTTCCAACTATCCAGGCTCACTGAATGGCTGTAAAATGGAAGTCTTCTGGTCCACCCGATGGCTTGTGCTACCTTCACCATGGTGTGATTATAGAGCTGATGTGTATGGCTCTGTGTTGACTGTGCGACCTTCTAACAGGTCTGATGAAGAACTGGGATTTGATGACCTTTGAGAAACTTGTTTTGTGGTGTGTTAGATCCTGGGTAAGGGTCGATTTAAAGGCAATGATGATGAGCATGCAGTCTCATTTTGTCTTATCAATAACACTCTTAAGAGTAAAGTGGACAATGTAACTGATTCATGGCTAAAATGCTGAATGGTAACTGGAATTAGCAAAAAAAAAACAAAACAACAAACTAGTTAACAAATCGTTGCCTTATATTCAGATTAACTGGCTGATGTCAAAGAAATTCTTATTGGATAAGTAAGCCATGATTTTATATCAGTGAATCAAACTCAACTGATATATTCATATGAAGTAAAAGCAACTTCTAATTTTTAAACCTCTACTTGAGGTTTTTAAAAACTCTTTCTACATTAGGTACCTGTCCAGGTACTTGCCAAAAATCCCCTCTGCCATATGTTCTATCTCTACAAATTTTTCATGAAGAGAGGATGAGGTGAGGAGGAATGGGAAATAGGGGGTATTTCACTGAGAGGTGAGATTCCTTTCTTTGGTAGCAGCTCTCTCAGTTTTGTTTAGAATATATGGAATGGAGATGTAGGTATGGAGGCACATATGACCCTCACTGTGTTATGGAACTAGTAAGAACAGAGGGCTTCCACTTGGGGCTGAGCATAAGGAACACTGTGTCTCAAGATCTTTTCCTCCAGCATCCCAGCATCGCAGCATTGCAACATCATAACATTGCAACATCCCAGCAGGAGTGGGGACCTGGACCTTCCCCTGCAGCACCAGCTGTCAGGCAGCTCAGAGGGCCAGAGATCAGCATTACCTTTCATTGCTGATGGATGATACCCTCAAATCAGTGGTTTAGGTATGGTGTGTAAAAGTACAGGTTGCATGAACTTTGAGTCAGTGAATGTGAAGGACAAGCTGGAATGTTCTATCAATTACCTGACAGAGGATCTTTAACAACTTTATGCATTAAATTGCAAAACATTTTATTATATTGAACTCTAAATTATATGAGGATGGGAGTAAAATTTGCTGCACAGAGCAATACATGAGGACTGTTGGGGGTTAAACACAGAAATAAAGAAAAGATCATTGTCTTTGTGGTGCCTATGAGCCCTTGATGGAAAATCAATCAAGCAGATGCAATTCAAAGACTTAAACCTCAAGACCTCACTGCTTGCATTGAAATTGAAATCCTATCACTAGAAAACCAATTCTGAGTTTACAGATCTTCCCAACCTTTCACATCTTAAAAATGCAAAGATCCAGTAGAACATGGAACACATCCAAGAATGAGGTCTTCTACAGTAAATTCTCATTCTGGAATCCGTTCATTCTTTTATTCAACAAACATACAGTGAGCACTTCACATAGGTGAATCCCCAAGATCACAACAAGGGAATCTGCTGCAGAAACCCTCCCCTGTAGTTCAGGAAGACGGGAGCGTGGATAGAGAGGGGGTACTTCATGGGGAGAAGAGGGAGAGAAGAAGGGGAATGGTTCAGTTCATGAGTTCCGATTTGGAGTTCTGCTTGAAGCAGAAGGGTCTATTAGAATGAGAGGTGGAAAAATGACTTGGAGAGGCTGGTGGGGACAGGAAGGCCATGAAAATAGAGGAACCAAGTGTATTGTTTCTTCTGCACATGTGAGACAATAGTCATTCAAGACAGAATTTATCTTTATATTGAAATTCAGGAGATAATTTTTCCAATAGACCAGATGGGGATAAGATCAAGTTCTGATCATCCCCCCCAAATGTCCCATGTGGCTCTCGCGTAGCTTAAGTTAGCCCCTGGAGAACAGTCTCCTGAGAGGCTGTGGGACATGAGGACATTGGATTAAGCAGGCTCCAACAATGACCTTCCAGGAAAATCAGTACGTGCATGTACACACACACAGAGTTTAAAAAAGATTCTTGTCTTTAATCCACCAAGACTAGCCTTAATGTACACTAGGTTGTAAACAATGTTACTGCATTTCACTCTAGCTTGAAATATCTATGATTATATATATATTTTTATAGGCCTTTCTTCTTTATACTTGTATATCTATGGCAATTCACTTATTATGTGGGGGTGTCACTTTCCCTGACCTCGTATGTTTTAAGGAAGGATGAAATATTACACTTTAAAGACAAATATAGTCTGAGCAATTGAGTGCCATAAGCCGCTGCTGGGCTGGTGCTGGTTCGGGCAGTTCTGAGGCTCCAGGGAGGTTACACATACATTGAGTGAAGGACACCCAGAGGACGAAGACTTGATTCATTATCAGATCAATAATCTGCGAACTGTGAATATGCAGGAAACCAGGGTCTCTTGGCTTTCTAATCTATTGTGGAAATAAGGGTTATTATGTGGACTCCAAGAGCATTCTGGTCCAGTACATCAATACTGCCCATCATATCACAGAAAATGGATTGCCCCTGTAGGCTGTAGAATGGCTAGGGAATGTTCTTTGATAATCGGGTTTCCTACATAGTAGATTATGTATTAATGCTATAATCCACACTGGGATCTAAATGGTAAAGAACACACAATCAGCTACATGTACCTACTAGTATGTTCTGGAGGAAAAGACAAGGCCTTTACAAGTGTTTTAAGAAGACTCAGGCTGGAGAGAATTACAAATAGTCACTCTCGTCAAAGATCCAGTGGTATTTACTGGTGTGAATGTTTCTAGACTTTCATTGGAGGAAAGGAAGGAAGGAAAGGAGGAGATGGAGGCATGAAGGAGGAAAGAGGAAGGTAGGTAGGAAGGAAGGAAAGAAGGGGAAAGGGAGGGAGGGAGAAAGGAAAGAAGTGGGGGAAGAAGGGAGGGAGGGAGAGAAAGAGGGAGAAAAAGAAATCTGATGGTGTATGTGCATGTAGCTTCAAGTTCAAGGCTGGAGTCAACATTTAAAATGGAAAATTTAGCCATAATACTTAATTGGGTTACTAACAACAGCATGAGCAGCAGTCTTCAAACAATAAAGAGAAGATTTTTTTTTGTTAAAATGGTGACTCTGGTAATTCTAAATATGAACAGAGAACCAGGGCAGGGAGCAATTATACAAACACAAGAAAAATCACACACTTCATAACAGAAGTTACTCTAGGGCAGTTGTAAACACCTATTATTGCCTAAAACAAGCAAACAAACAAACAAACCAACAAACCAAAAAAACCTGGAGATGTCCATGATGTTTTCTTAGTAATGACTAACATTTGCAAAGCCCCTTATAATTTACAAGGCATTTTACAGCAATTACCACAGTTAATTCCCACAATAACCCTGTGAGTTTAAATATTAGACTTGCTATTTTACAGCTGAGGGAACTGCAGCCCAAGGAGGTTAAGTGGCTGTTGCCAAGGCCACTCAGGAGTCAGCCCTAAAACCAGAACCCAACGCCAGACCTCGTGACTACAGACTGTCCGGCTGCCTCAGCACCTCTGCCTTCATATCCACTGATGTCTCTTCCAACAGTTACTTCTAGAAGGTAGAGATGCAACTGCCTGGAGGACAGAGTAGATGCTTGCCACAAGCCCATGAGCACCCAAAGCTGCTCTTACAAGCAATGCAAAACCTGGGCTCGGAGGCCTAGAATTTCAAATATGTGTGTACTTCCGAAGGCAGAAGTAAAATATGTGTTGCCCCCCCTCTAACAAATGCAATTCTTGTCAGTATTTCTTACTTTTATATGATGAAGCCTTGCCACCCACAGTTAAAATGAAAACTAAAACCCCCGAGTTGCTGCGCGTCAGGCCATAACACGTGGCTCTGCTTGTGGACATCCATTTCTGAGGCACTGGGGATGGGGCTGAAAGCAGTGCAGGCAGGCAGATGACGCAGGTCGTTACACGTCCTGGCAGAAGGCCTGGGCCAGGTGCTGTGAGGGAAGTCCTGATGGCTGGGAACAGCCTCTGCTCTCAAGGGGCCTGCACTTTACCGGGAAACACACCTGCACAGGCAGAACGGGGGAGGACACACGGTGGGAAAGGGAGCAAGCGTGCACTCTGGTTAGGGGCCAGAGAGTGAGTGGGCCAGGTGCTTAAACCAAAGGGTTTGCCTTGTAGAGCAGTGCGGGGAAAACTGGAGAGAGAGAAAGATCAAAACAGCAGACTGAGAAGCTGGATTTCATAGTGAGAACATGAAATCATTGTTCATTTCATGGTGCATCGTGGTGAGTGATGTTTCATTGGTGCATCGTGGTGAGTGACGGAGGGGGAGGAGGGAGTAGTGCAAGTGCATCTAGGGAAGGAGAATGTAGGGTCATGGAGAACCCATCAGACAGGAGATGGGGTTTGGAAAGACTGTTACAATGATATGGTAGTATTCTGAGGTGAAATAGTACAAACATACAAATCCCAATAAGAGGACTATCATTATTATTTATGCTATTAGTATTCATAAGAAGTGTCCCAGAACTCTTTCTGAATTGCTGTGAGATGCATTTCTCAAAATGGGTTTTGAGGAATACCAGTGCCTCTGGATATTGACAGGTGTTTGCAAAACGAACTGTGTTCAAATGTATGGAATTCATGGGGGTCATAATAGCCACCTTTCATGGCTACTGTAAAGGGTGAATTAGAAAGTACATAAAAAAGCCTGGCACACAGAATACATTAAAAAGAAGCTAGTCCCCTTGCTCCAACATGATTTACATTTATTGTAATAATGTCCCCTGGTCCATACCTATTCCTATAACCTAACACATAGGTGTGTATATTTGTATACACACAAGTGTGTATGCATGTGTATATGGGTGTTCACATACATGCACATTCATACCCACATACCTTGTCATACTCATAAGAACGTACACATGTGCCATCCCAGGTATACCTTCAGTGTCGGACTAAACCTAAGGAGGTATGAAGTACCCACATATGCCACCTTTAACCCTATGGCACTCTATCTAGGGCCTTGCTTACAGAGATGTGTGAAAGCTGACCCTCTCCCTCTGCTCTGCCTTGGTAGCAGTCCCAGTGGGTGCCACAGATGTGTCCTAGTGCCATCTAGTGGGGAGTCCCACTTTCTGCCCCACAGTGCCTCCTTGTGCGGCCTCCAGCCGTGGCCCCAACTCCTCACCATTTCACAGGCTGCTTCCATCATCCTAAGAAACAACAGGGCTAAACGAGCTCCTCTCTATTTCTATGTAGGTTCTTTCCAGTTTTCCTTCTGGGTGTTTCTGGACATGGGTACCTGTCGTTAAAATATTGCCACCTCTACGTACAGGCAAAGAAAAGGCTTGGAGCACCTCAGTCCACGGTGCCAACAGGAGTTGGACAACTGTGAGTACATGGCTCATTTCTAAGTTCATGTCTTCGGGATCTAGAAGGAAAACTATGTTGTATAATGAAAGCTTCCTGCATTCGCCAAATTTAGGGATGCTTTATGTATGTATAATTCTTTCTTTAATTCAATGAGAACTTTGGCTCACAAAAGATGCTCCATGCCAACTGTCTCAAAGAGATGAGGTGTTTTGGTCTCCCTTTGTCTGTGAAGAAAGCCATGTTGATTGTAGAAACTGCTCCACACTGATTAACCCATGGAATTCAATCCTCAGTTCCTTCAGCTAGTGGGTTTAATGCATCAGAAAAGACTAATAACAGTAGAGAAAAAAAAGACATTAGAGCTGTGTCTATGTGGCCAATGCACTTTGCAATTTCTTTAATCCATTCACAATTTTAAAGGTGACAGTGAAACATGACAGTGGAGGAAATAAAGAATAAATGCATAAGTTCAAATCTTGTTGGTTGCTTAATTAGGTCAGAGAACTAGTAAATACTACGGAATCACTATCAGTATTCCCCTGAAGTGATCAATTAAATTCATCATAGATTCTGGCTGTCCCCATGACAACGAAGCATGGATAACTTAGGGGCAGGGGTGGGAATGTCAGTCTGTGGCCCTCACTGGGTCCTCCCTCTGCCTGAGTTCTCAGTCCGGGGCCCAGGCAGGGACTTCTGGATGGGTCGGACTGATTTTCATCCCCGCTTCCCATCAGTTAGACCAGCGCTAGTGCTGAGCATGTTACCTACACATTCAGTAAATGTGGTGGAGCCTTCTGCCTCCGAGTTCCCCACCTCTGGGGTCGAAGAAAGGGGAAAGTGTAGGAGGGTAAACGGGAGTGACCAAGAAGGGCCATGTGAGGTTCACTGTGGGGGTAGACCCGGCCCAGGTTTTCTACCACGAAGCTAATAAGTCAAATGCTATGGAAGAAGACAGAAAGTCAGACAGAGGTAAGTGGATTGTTCTACTCTCTTTGTGTGTGCAAATGAAAATTGTATGAATTTACTCAGCCTGATTCGCATCGTGAGAACATAACTCAATTGAAAGGGTTGGGTTTGTTTTGGCAAAGGTTGAATGCCCCAGTTTGCCTTCCTGCTCCTTTGTTTGAGGGACAAGTGACGCTCCTGCGACCTATCTTGCAAGAAATCAGCATCTCAGTATCTGGGCTGGGCAGATCGAGAAGGCGGAAATGAAAGCTCCATGTTTTTATTATGCTTGAAGTTACTTATTTGCAGAGGGGTTCTTCATCCCCTTAATCTATCTGTTCCTCTGAATGGCTTCTCGGCTCTGTTGCCTTGGTTGTAGTGTTACATTTTGTATCTAATATTTCTTGCTACTGTTTAGAAATCATTGTGACTACATTGCTCTTTATCGATAATTTTATGTAGCATAATCCATCACCATGCTGGATGTTGGGGCAGGGAGAAGGGCATTACTTTGTCTTTCACTTGGGGCTCAGACGGCTCTCTGGTATTGATTTCTTGGCTTCCACGTTCGTTAGATGATGATTTGCACTTTTCCTGTATTGTGTTCATCCAGATTATGTTTCAGATGTGTCGACAACATATCATCATTAACAACAAACATTTATTGAGCACTTATGGGCTGCGGATCAGGCTCCAGGCTAGGTACTGGGGATAATAAAAGGAATTGAATGCGATCCTTACCCTGGAGGATTTTATTATCTATTGGACTATGTTTGTTTGTTTGTTTGTTTTTAAAAATACCTAACGGCTTATACCGACTGAGTGCTGTAGGCAATAAATGCTCTTGGAGCTCAGAGCGGGGAGTGCTGGTGAGGGCCAGACTGGTCAGGGAAGGGTTTATGAGATGTAAGTGGCTTCTTAAAGGATGAGAAGGATATTTTTACGGGATACTGCAGATAGAGTTTCTGAATACCATTGTGCCAGATTTTTTTAAAAGTAATGCCTATATCTTTAAACTACAATTGTCTTATTAATAATTTATGAGCTTAAGGCAGAGAATCAATATTCACCTGCTTTCCACAGTGTTTTTTGCACAGAGTTCTATTGTTAATAGCCATGCACGCCTAGTCACACACACCAAGGAAAAGCCAGGCAGTGTGTTAACTTTCTCATCAGCACTTGCCTGGCCTGCGTGCTGGCTCTTCAGATTGCCTTTGGCTTTGTCTAAAATGTCTCCCCCCTTCCCCCGTTGGAATCAGGGAAGAAAAAAGTGTATTCAATGACTTCTCAAAGCAAAGTAGATTTAAAAGTAAGAGAATAGGGAAGAAAAGGTGACTTTCTTGTAGAAGTTGCCTCACTGAATCTCCAGGAGAACGCTGGTTTGACCCTGGAGAGGATATTAGTTCCCCAAGGGAAATATCCATTTATGAGAAGTTCCAAGCTTTTCCACTATAAGGGAAAGATGTTCAAACATTTTTGAAGATTGAAAACTTGGCTTATTACTTTCACAGGACTTTACTAGGGGGAAGGATATTTACCTGAGCTTATTGACAGAAGGGTTGGCAGGAAGACTGTCTGTGGCCGGCAGTATCAATATTCTGCAGACAAAGCCCTGTGGCTTTCCTAATACCAGTTCTTTTTCCAGAACTCTCTCTCTGTGATTTCTTTTATGTTATTTTTTAAAAAGTCTCTCTGTTTCATAATTTATTTTGGCTCTGGTGGAACGACAGGCCAAGAAGAAATGAAATTCACATTTTCCTCCTTTCAGTTCTCCTGGTAGCCTCTGCTTCAGGGCACCCACTCTCCACATGTCCTGAAGCACACCCCGGACCTCCAGGGGACCACACCCTACCTGTTGTGTTACACAGGTGAAGAGTAACGAACATTCACATATATTAAGTGAAGTGGGTCCAAAAATAAAAATTAAAGTATACATTTCTTTTCTATACCTGTTCTCAGTCCTACCAATTTAAATTTTCCAGTTAAAGGCAATTCAATTTTCATGTAAGAATTGTTTCTTAGGTATAATTTAGTCTAATTTGGACAACATTTAGTCAATTTGAAGTATAAATGCTCAATCAGGGATTGTATTTCTCCGGCAGCATCTCTGTGTCCCTCCCCAAGGTGGTTGAATGCATGCCGTGCCCCCTGGTGGTAAGGTGGGCTGCCCTGTAGGCTGCTCTCCCTGCCGACCACCAGAAGGAGGCTGGTCCAGTCTGGTTCCTGAACACTCTGCACTGGTATCTTCCAAGTGGCTAATGTCATGTCACCTGTTTTGTTGTGGTGGTTGTGGTTGTGATTGTGGATGTTATGCTGTTGCTTACACCATCGACGTACATGTACATCACGTACATCAAATAGAAAATCTGTGGGAAAGGGCCCTGCATGTCTGCCCTTCCCATCTAACTCAGGGTTTCAGGGGGCAGCACCTCCGTGTGTCCACAGAGAAATCGAGGGAATGTAAGAGACCCCAACATGCAATAATGCACACATCGTGTGGACCCAGAGCTCTTCGTCTCAGAACTTTGTGAGATCTCTCCTAGCCAGCTGGGGTGTAGAGGGGCGGGGCAGCAGCCTGGGTGCTCCAGAATACCTAGTCTAGTGTTTTAGTCAACTAACTCCCCCGCTTTGGTCAAGGCCTTAGAAAGTCCAGGCCTTTAATTCTCAGTGAACCCAGCTACTGTGTACTCTTATCCTGGGGGCATCCACACAAAGTCCTTCTCCTCTTCCTTGCCTGGTGATGCTTTCTCCTCATCTTACCTGATGGGAACTTCCCTATTATCTCCATCCTGTGACAGTTCTGTGAGTTAGGATAAAAATTCTACCATTGAGTTTGCCAGCCTTGGCTTTGGATCTGATAAGGGGAGCTTTGGGAATTTAGAGAACCCTTCCTCTCTCAACTATACCTGCTTTCAAAACCTTATTTGCATTATGGACTCAAACCCCAGTTCTACTTTTGCAACCTGAATCATCCCCAAAGCAATGGATGCCTCTAACCAGATAAAGGAAATACATGGAAATACCTAAAAACATATATTAGCCATTATCCAATGTCTACCTAAAACTATAGAGGGAGAAGGGCAAGACTCTGAATAGTTACCAGGGTACCATTGTAGGAAGAGTTCAAAAGCTGGACCACAGTGGGTTAGAACCATCAGGATGGCTTCCCAGAGGCAGTGGGGCTGGATCTGGCTCTCGCAGGTGAACGACTTAGTAGGCATGGAGAAGGGGGAATGGAGCTGCAATCAGACGTGTCATCTTCTTCCTCCACACTCCCCGAGCTGTGTGTTCACAACTCACGCACGTCTCTCTGAGCACGGTTTGTGCCTCAGGGCACGTTCCTGTTGTCTCCCACTTACTCATGGGTGTGTCTTCCTGTAAGATGATAAACTCCTTGAGGACAGGGATCCAGAGTTTTTGTATTTTCGTTAATATTAGCCCTGTGCTTGTATACATCAGGCCTTCATGTATACTTAACATTTAACAACATGAAGTGTTGTCAAGAACATGTATGAAGGGCATATGGACAAAACCAAATAGGGGTAGGATCAAGGGTGGGAAGTGGGGATGGGTGGGGTGGGGGGAAATGCTGGGGGGGAAATGGAGACAACTCTACTTGAACAACAATAAAAAATGTGGGAAAAAAAAACAGCGTCTCATCGTCTCATCTATGGGATTTCCATATGATGCTCATCCCAAGTTGTCATTTCCTTCATTTCCTTTATTGTGGTAAGATACACATAACGTGAAATTTACCATTTTAACCATTTTTAAGTGTATAGTTCAGTGGCTTTAAGTACATTCACATTGCTGTGCAACCATCACCACCATCCATCTCGGGAAATTATTTATTTTCCCAAGTTGGAACTCTACACTCATCAGATAATAACAGATAATAACTCTCCATTCCCCCTTCCCGTACCCCCAGCCCCTGATGACCACCATTCTATTTTCTGTAAATTTGACCACTGCATGTAACTTTTATGGATGAAATCATATGGCCATTTGTCCTTTTGTGTCTAATTTATTTCACTTAGCATTATGTCTTCAAGGTTCGTGCATGTTGTGGCATG